GGAGGGAGGGGGGAGAAGGAGGGAGGGAGGGAGGGAGGGAGAGAGGGAGGGAGGGAGGGAGGGAGAGAGAGAGAGAGAGAGAGAGAGAGAGAGAGAGAGAGAGAGAGAGAGAGGGGATCAATTTCCATACACGATCTTGTATGTGCCTGGGAGGGGATAGAAAGGGAAGAGAACCCACACCTTGGCAATATCGGGACACTAACCAACTGAGCTACTAGGCCACAGAATGGAGCTTTATTTTGTTGAACATAACTTAAAAAAGTTTATTTCAGAGAAAAGGGAGAGGGAGAGTTAGAAACACTGCCTCCTGCACAACCCCACACTGGGGATCGAGCCCACAACCTGGGCATATGCCCTGACTGGGAATCAAACTGTGACCACCTGGTTCATAGCTCCATGGCTCAAGCACTGAGCCACACTGGCTGGGCAGAGGTAAAGTTTTTAAATCCTTTGGAATATGAGAATACATTGGAATTTCTGATTACATTTATTGTTTATCCCAGCCTTTTAAAACCTCAAGGGAATGTGTATTATGTACGCAATACATTGGTACAGAGGTATATATTTTTTGAGCACATCACATAATATATTTGGCCTGGACAACCACTTTTATTTTTTAAAGTATATTTTATTGGTTCTTCACAGAGATGGAGAGAGAAAGTTAGAAACATCGATGAGAGAGAAACATCGATCAGCTGCCTCCTGCACACCCTCCACTGGGGATATGCCCGCAACCAAGGTACATACCCTTGACCGGAATAAAACCTGGGACCTTTCAGTCCACAGGCCGATGCTCTATCCACTGAGCCAAACTGGCTAGAGCTGGACAATCACTTTTAGAGCCCTGAGTTCAGGCTACATTGAGGCCTTCATTCTGTGAGAAAGCTCAAGCCATACTGAGAGGCCTCACGCTCCTGCTGACAGCCCAGGAGAGGTCCCAGCCTACCACCAGCATCAATGGTCCCTCACACCATAGGACTGAAGAGGTCTGATGATTCCAGCTGCTGAAGTCAACACCAGCCTTCAGGTCTCTGTAGGTCTTTCCAGTTATCACAGAACAGAGACAAGTTGTTCCCACTGGCCTTTTACAAATATTGGCCCACAAGACTGATGAGCATAATGAAATAATTGCTTTTCACAACTGTGTTTCAGGATGGTTTATTATGAATAGCTAAGAGGAACTGTCGTCATTATGCACCGTAATGTCTTCTTGCACACTTTCTAAAGGAAACAAGTGCCCCCCACATAGCTGCCCATACTGAGAGGCAGAGAAGGAACAGAGGTCGTGTCAGCGGGATGGTCTGGGGAAAAAGGTGAGGCCTCAGGGTGGGGAGAGCAAACCAGCCTCAGAGGGACCCCACCTCCGAAGCTCCTGTGGAAGGAGCCAGGAGTCTAACTTGCTGTGTGGCTCCGACCCCACGGCTCCATTCCAGATCCTGCTGCCTGTGGCCTTTTACTCTTGGCAGGAAGACTTCCAAGGCCACTTCTTTGGACCCTAGTATTAGGTCACATTTAGTTGGCACCTCCTAAAGGAGAAAGGAGTCTCTGTGAACCTGCCCCTCCCCACCATGGTGGCAGAAAAAGGTATTCCAGGATTTTTGTTGTTCCACTGCTCACCAGCTCTGTGACCTTGGGCAAGTCACTTTATCCCCGAGCCTGAGTTTTCTCTGCGGTAAAATCAGGCAATGAGTAGTCCTGCCCTGAAAACAGTTCCTGTGTGGATTAAATAAAATGAAGCAGATATATGTACCCAGTCTTTTTTTTTTTTTTTTTAATATATTTTATTTATTTTTTACAGAGAGAGAGAGGGAGAGTTAGAAACATCGATGAGAGAGAAACATCTATCAGCTGCCTCCTGCTCACTCCCCACGGGGGATGTGCCCGCAACCAAGGTACATGCCCTTGACCGGAATTGAACCTGGGACCCTTCAATCTGCAGGCCGACACTCTATCCACTGAGCCAAACCAGTTAGAGCTAAGTGCCCAGTCTTAGTAAATGCTCCCTTACAGTCTGTCATTCTTTTGGGACTGTTGCCACACACACACACACACACACACACACAGTTGATTTCAGAGACAGAGAAAGGGAGAGAAACATCGATGGAAAGGATCATTGATTGGCTGCCTCCTGTACATGCTGCACTGGGTATAGAGCCTGCAACCCAGGCATGTGCCCTAAGAATCCAACTGTGACCTCCTGGTTCATAGGTCTGTCTGCTCAACCACTGAGCCACAGCCAGCCTGGCTGGGACTGTTGCTCATGCTGAAAACCAAAAAGTCCAGACAAGTAATGTCACTGTGAGCAGAACATTTTTGCTTCAGCCCAAGTCGCCCTGTGGGAATGTGGACGCGGCATAGCCACAGCCTCATGGAATCTAACCTGGGGCTGGTGCAGTCTGGGCTGCAGGTAACAAAGTTCTGTGCTTCTATCCCAGCTCCACTTGTCTCCGCTGAGTAAAGCCAGGATGCAGTTTAGCAGGAAGAAAGGAAGCTTTTTATTTTTTCTTTCTAAATTGATTTCAGAGAGAGAAAGGGAAAGGGAGACACATCAATGATGAGATAGAATCACCAGTCAGCTTTTTCCTGCACTCCCTCTACTGGGAATGAAACTGTAATCCGAGCAGGAGCCCTACCAGGAATCTTCTGGTTCATGGGCTAACACTCAACCACTGAGCCACACCTGCCAGGCAGAAGGAAACTTTCTGCAGGATGGTACCCAGTGCACACAAGAGACCTGGATGGGGAAACAGGGTAGTTGAGTTCCTATCTTAGCTCTGCCTGTACTTGCTATAGGATTTGTAACACCTGGTACCTCAGTTTCCCCAACTATAATTCACTTCATTAAATCCTTACCAAAAGTATTAACTCTGTCATTGTCCAGCTCAGACCCACAAGGGTGCCCAGAGTAATCCCCCAGGCCTTTGCACATACCATTAAAAGCTATCCTCCTGCCCTGGCCGATGTGCTCAGTGGATAGAGAGCCAACTCAGCACCAAAGGATTGCAGGTTCAATTCCCAGGCAAGGGCAAACACCAGGGTTACAGGTTGGATCCCCACCTTGGATGGGGCCCTGTGGGAGGCAACCAATCCATGTCTCTCTCTCACGTTGATGTTTCTCTCTCTCTCTCTCTCTCCCTCCCTCCTTTCCGCTCTCTCTAAAAATCAATGGAAAAAGTATCCTCAGGTGAGGATTAACAAACAAGAACAAAAACAACTATCCTCCTCTCTCTGTCTTTCCTGTCTTTTCCCTTCTTGAGTCCTTAGCACCTCTCAATCTTGGATGAGGCAGTGCTTCCTTCCCAAGCCCTCTGGGTCAGTCACCCTTTACTCAATGGATTATTCTACACTGATTCCCAGTGTGTGAAGGCAATGATGATGAAGGGGAAGATGACCAGAGCCTAATTTTCCCACCAAACCATGAGCATTGTTAGAGCTGGCACAAAGGTGTCCAAAATACAGTTGTTGAATAAATGGCCTTCAGGAGACAAGAAATTCATTTGCTTAATCCTTCTGTCACTTATTAGCAGTGGAATCCAAAGCTTCTCTAAGCTTTGGTTTTCCCATCTAGCAAATGGAGTCCATAATCCGTGTTTCCCATCTCTATCTCAGAACTTTCTAAACCCTGCTGGGTGACCTTTCAAGCTAAATGAGACAGCATAGGGCATTAAACAGTGTGCCCAAATTCATGTTTACTTGGAAAAAAGGTCTTGGAAATAAGTGTCTTGGAAATAAGGTCTTTGTAGATGTAATTAAGGTGAGGATCACGGATGAGATCATTATTATTTTAGGGTGGGCCCCAACAATGACAAGTGTCCTTATAAGAGACAGAAAAGGAAGTCCTCTAGACCCCGTCACTCACACCTGGTTGAGAAACCCCTGAAGCAACTGATGAGAAGAGTTTAATGTCCACCTCGCACACCAATGATGCCCAGGGACCACCAACTAAAAGTAGAGGAGGTGAAAGCTGGCAGCAAACATTGCTACTAGATTCTTCCTGAGGTGGCAGCCCTGGGAAAGGAACAATGAGGAACAGCGCATGTGCAACTTCACCAATAGGGCCCACCCCTTTTTTCACAGGTGAGAGAGATCCAGGGTGGGGGCAAACTTGCCCCAGGGCACCCAGTGAGTGATGGTAGTGTTTAATTGTGAACTCTCAATTCTGCCAATTTGCATGCAGAATTAAAGATGAATATGCACTGCCCTGACTGGTTTGGCTCAGTGGCTAGAGCGTCAGCCTGTGGATTCAAGGGTCCCAGACTCGATTCCAATCAAGGGCATGTACCTTGGTTGCAGGCATATACCCAGTGGGGAGTGTGCAGGAGGCAGCTAATCAATGTTCTCTCTCAACAATGTTTCTAGCTCTTTATCCCTCTCCCTTCCTCTCTGTAAAAAAATCAATAAAATATGTATTTCTTTAAAAAGATGAATATGCACAGATCTACTTTTATGAGGGAGAGGTTCCATAGCATTCATCAGATTCTCAAGGGAGTACAAGACTAAGGAAGAGTAGAGAGTGGAAGAGTCCAGGTCAAAGTCAATGGCAAGTCACAGCAAACCTGAGACTACAATTTGTGTCCTAGGTTCTCAATCACTGCCCTACACTTGTTCCTTATGGAAAAAGCCATTTTCTTCAATGCGCCTGATTGAAGGGCCTGGTTAGTAGGAACACCATGGTTTTCAACGGGTGAAGGCTGTTTTCCTGCTGGCATTGCCTATGGACACTGATGGAGAAGAACTGGGGAAAACTCTGGAGCTACAAAGAAGCAACTCACTCCTAACCTGTTCCCAGAGGCCCCTACGCAAGGTGAAGGCCACAGATGCATGGCTTTCAGAGCCTAAACACATTTCTAATAAGATACCCTCTGCTCTTTGGTTCAAATTGTTGATTTAGGTCATGCTCAAGTCTTATATGTTTCCGCAGGCTCCAGTGGACCATGCTGGCCTGGAAAGGGTCAACTCCCAAAGCAAATGAGAGATTGATTGAACACAACGGCAAAGTATGAAAATTAATTGAGATATTTAATAGACAGTGCAAACCATAATTTCATCTGAATATAAATGTATGCACATGTTTCCAATGAGTTATCTATCAGTTATCACAAACAGCAACAAGGACCTTAGAGCTATGTTAGAAAAACATATAGCCGGAATTTAACTCTAACAATCTCACTTGTTCTCAAGAGAACACCATCCATTTCAAATCAGTGTCACAAATGTCAAAAGACCAGGGAAGTGGAAGTGAGGAGTGGGCTGGAATAGAAAACACGGGGGCCAGTACACAGGTGATGGACAGAAATACAGCTCTTGAGGAAACCAAAATCAGATGCATTATTACAGCTAAGGACAAGGAAAAGCCTATGGCTTTTAAAAACGACTTTTCTGCCAGTACCATACAAGTCTTACAAAGAGATGTACGACAAGTCAACTGAATTCAAAGGACAGAGGCTACATTTTTAGATCATTTCAACTGCAAATGGTCGACCCTTTCCATTGAGGTTCAGCAGTGGAGTTAGCGTAGTCCAGAAGCTCAATGTTGGATTTGCAAATACAGTTTATTTTACAGAAATTCAACATTATAAACAGCAGGCACCTCCCATCCCACCCACCCACCCTTAACCCCGCCCACCCCGCTGGGTACAGACCATGCTAGGCAGAGTGAGCAGTGATGCAGCCCAACTGCTTTGGAGGGAGATTCGAGAGCGATGGAACCTGCCTGCACCACGTCCTGCCTGCCCTGCACACGCAAACGCCTGCCCATTTGCAGGTCACCAGAGTCTGTCTGGGCCCAGCTTGCAATGGGCCAGTTAATTTAAGGTTCCAGCCCAGGTCTCCAATTCCTTCATGTCGTCGTCTTCCTCTTCCTTCTTCTTGGCTGTGTGACAAGAGAAAAGGCAAATGAGAAGGGCTAGTTGTAGTCCTCGCAACTCATTCTGGCTGGGTGCCAGGACTGTGCCACACGGTGTCTGCAAAAACAGCCCTGCCCTTGCAGCCACCTCATCTCCCAGCTATCAGCAGACTGCCTCTCTGTGCCTAAAAGCTGCAACGAAAAGCTCCAGATAACCGGGCACACTTCCCCCAGCACCTCCCTCCTCCCAGCATCAGGGCCAGACAAAACAAGAATTCTACACTCAGAGTTAAGATTCAGGGGAGGCCTCAGTTCCAGAGCATCCAAGGTCAGGAAGAGAAGGAAAAACACCAGAAGAGAGCAAATCCTTGCCACCTCCCTTTCTCCATCAAGTGTCTTGAACCATCTCTCCACACCTCTAGGCAACTTGCTGGACATTTGGACTCCTCTGCCCCTATTCCAGCCCCACCCGAATAGCTGACTCAACTCGAAGGGCCATCTCTTCCTGGAAACGGGGAGAATGGGGTGGTTACAGTCTGATCACACTCTGTTCCCCGGGTACTCTCTCTGCCAAGTCAAACTGCTTCCCCTTTTCTATTGTAGTTCTGTGTGGAATACTTCCACCCAAGGGTAAAATAATGGGGGAGGGAAGGGGAAGGAGGAGCAGGCAGAAGGAAATGAAAGTTTTATAAAACCAGGACTTTAAAAAAGCCAAGCTATTTCCTTCCCACAGTGACGCCTCCGAGGCTCCCGGCTTTTACAGGTGTGTACAGCACAGGATTCCAGACGTGGAGCAAGAGCTGGCTGGGATTAACTCTCACACCTTCTCTCAGGCCTTATTTGGTGGCACAGGAAAAATCATTCTGGGTTTTCAACAGGGGGTGATACCCTCCCACATCCCAAAGGGGACATCTGGCAATATCTGGAGATATTTTTAGTTGTCACAGTTTGGGAAGGGATGCTACTGGTATCTAGTGGATAGAAGAGGCCAGAGATAGACCTGGAGACCATTATGCTAAGCGAAATAAACCAGTTGGAGAAAGATAAATATGACATGATGTCACTCATTTTTGAAATATAATGAACAGCATAAACTGATGACAAAAATAGATCCAGAGACAGAGAGAAACAGGGAATCATCAAACCTCAGAGGGACTGGGGGAGAGAGTTGGGGGTAGTAATAGATCAACCAAAGACCTGTCTGTAAACGCGTATGATAACCAATGGACACAGACACTGGACAGTGGACGCTTGTCCTGGGGGGGAGAGAGGGGGGAATGTCTAGGGGAGGGGTAGATGGGGGAAAAGCAGAAATATGTAATTCTTCAAACAATAAAATAATTACTTATGAATAAAAAAAAAAAGAAGAGCCAGGGATGCTGTTCAACATGCACAGTGTGCAGGAGAGGCCTCCGCCCAGCCCCAGCCCTAAGGACAATCTGGCTAAGTCAGCGATGCCACGGATAAGAAAACCCGTTCTAGGGAGAAACTAGGATAGGGCGCTTGTCTCGGGGCCATCACAGCAGATCCCACCTGGCCTCTCAAACTCTGGGCAACGCTAGACCCAAACTCAAACCAAGTGATCACGGGGCATCAGGGGGTGTGCTGGGACTCCGGGTAAGAGGCACTCACTGGGTTTTGATGGTTAGAGCTATAGAGGGAACATTTGGTAGAGGAACTGCTTCAGGTCCACTGATTTCCAGCAAATTTCTTGTCTAGTTCCTCCTGTTCTAGTTCTTCTAATTCTGCCATGAGTTCATCCTGGTAAAAGAAATACAAGAATGAGAGAGATACCCTGGTGAATCCCAGCCTCCTCAGCAGTACCCTTTGCCTGATGGCTGAGGGGGACACACCACCCCTTCTGAGAAGGTCAGAGAAGAGATGAACTCCAGGTCCACACTCTGTGACTCAATTATCCTGAATTTGCTGGTGAACATAATACACAATCGAGCAATACTGATGTCTATGTGTCTGCAATAGGCTGTGCGCATCTTGAGAAAATGGATTGTATCTTTTCATCCTATTTCTTTATCTCAGAACTGGGAGCACTAAGTGAATGTGCATGAATGTTTGCTGGATTGGAATAAACTTGCCTAGTCCATCAAACTCCAACTGGAAAACATGAAAACCCTGGTACTGGCAACCACGGGTAGGAGCCACAGGCCGTTTAGCCAGCTGCACCACGGAAATCAGACAGCACAAAGAATCAGGTGCAGTGGAGAGGGCC